TAAACCGGGGATGTTAGTGTGTATTTTGCAAAACCTCATCAGATTGTTCTGATGGTAATGTAGTGTTTATAAAGCAGAATTGAGAAGTTTAAGTATTTGTATGTATGTGCAGTCGCTCTGGGGAAAAATTCTGAGCATGTCACTTCAGCAATAATTTCAATTAGGATTTCCATTTTTGGCATGTATTTGCTGATAAATTTGCTACAAAACTCCTTTTTGGCAAATTAATAAAGTTGAGACACCCAGTTTTGACAGATATTGGCAATTTGGTTCACATACCTATTCTGGGTAAAGCCTATTACAGTTAAAAAGATATCTGATCTATCTAGGTTTTTATATGGTGATGTCTGAGCACCAAGCATCCTGGCATTATTTAACAGATGAAGCTTGAAGCTCGGAGTGAGGAAGAGAGGAAGGATGGTCCAGGGTTAAATTGAGAAACCTGGTTCAATTACCTGCTAGACCACAGACTTCCTGAATGGCCTTTGGAAGGCACTTTGTGTCTGTGATCTTCAGTTCTCCCATCTGTAAAATGGGGATAATAGTGCTTTCCTAGCTCTCGGGGTGGTGGTGTGAGGATCAATACATTAAAAGATTGTGTGGTGCTCAGATACCACGGTAATGAGGCTGTATAAGTGTCCAAGATAGACAGTGTGCTTCGTTACACAGCATAGACTTCCAGATCTCCTAAGTGAAGGGATCAATCTCTTAGGAGAAACGGAAGGGTATATGAATGTAGGTATATGAGTTCACTGAATTATTTTCTGTTTGAATGTGCTTGGCAATATTTCATACCATCACTTATCTGTATATCTGTGGCTGTCAGCACCATCCAGGTCCTCAAATGAAACTGATTAACAATGGTGCACAACTGACAGCAAGGAATGCAGAGATCAAGGATGCATGGAAAATATTCTGCTGTTCCTGTATCAATGAATATTGAGAAGTACGTTTTGATTTTTTGCAGCGAACATTCAATTTAATTAGCTTTCATATCACTTAAAAAACCCTAAAACTAAAAATGCCTGAACAGTTCAGATAAGTCAGCTTTCCAGTTGCTTACAAATGTAAAGTTGAAAGAATAAAAACAATTTGAAAGATATAGCAAGAGAATGATTGAACTCCTTTCCTTCATGTACGTGTTGCAATCCATCACTACTTTGGCAATGATTCTATATTCTAGTACATTCTAGTACAAAGACTATAGGAATTAATATCTTGAAAGCCCATAACTGTTCATTATAAGGAGACATATTTTTAAATATGATAAATGTGTTTGGAGGTGGAATGAAATTTTATTTAATATAATTGCAGAGCAGGTTTTCTGACATTGTCAATTGTTAAATGACATTCTTTATTGTGGCATCACTTTGAAATAATGGTAAAGTTTACTTGCTGCGAACATTACATTTTATTGTGAATGACATATTTTGGATCCTGGAGAATTAGAGAACTGCCTTTTTTTAAGTTGTAAAACCAACAGAAGAGCTCATGTAGAAAATCAGTGCACAAATTTCCAAACTTCTTTAGGGAAGTGGATATCTGTAAGTCCTAAGGGCACCACATCTGAGCACAGAACGAAAGTTATAAAGCAGGATCCCTGAAGCAGAACTGCTACCATGTGTGAACGCTTAGAGTGTACCTGCAAATGCTAATCCATAATGACAGGAAATCCATAAAGTCCTAAAGTCAAAATAAATATATACTCTGAACAAAATTCTGAAGTCTTTGCCTGTGATGATGTATTAACCGCAGCAGTCAGCACCATCCCTTCACTTTGCCAGGTTGCTTGGAGAACTTAGAGTGGTATGAGGTGCTGATGTCACATTTTCTGGTCTGCATAGTTCTTGGATGGAAGCAAATTGTGAAATGTTTACTTCACATTTTCATGCCTTCATTTATCTAATATTACTACTGCAGGTGCAGGATATGGAGAGCTGAAGTTAAAAATAGTCTTCCACCTCCTAATGTTCTTGATGCGTCATCCCAGCTAGACAGTTTCCTACTCACAAGATTGTCATGATCAGAAAATTCCAAAACTCCAAATGTCACCATGCTTTCCCTCAAAACACAATAGATCCAGATTTTTCTACTCAAAACATTTGAGGACTCTATTAGGTAGCCACCAAAACTTCACCCTGTTCATATACAAAGAGGTAACATCTGTAGCCAAACTAGGTAGTTACATGTCTCTGCTGACCTCTTCACTTGTTCATGCGTGACATACAAGCGCAGAGTTTGCATGTGGAAATAATTCTCCGTAATTGCCCCAAATTACAGCTGCAATATTAGAGTCAAGTTAAATTTGGCCCTAAATGTTTCCTCCTTCAGAAATACTCTGGAAAATTCCCCTTAAGTTCAGAACTCAGATGGTGGAGGTTTTGCCATTCCTTGATATTTTGTTTATTTACTGTCATTAATTGCAAAGTGTGGCTGTTGAGAAGCAGATAAAATGAAGCAGACTGTTTTCTGCAAGTGCTGTGACAAGAAGTAATAGTAAATTTTACTGAGATTTTAAAGCATAGATGTTTTGAATCCCTTTGATAGAGGGGGGAAAGAGGGGACATCCTGATCATTTTGCATCATGCTATAAGATGGAGAACAGTGAAATTGAAAATGTGACTGGGGGCAGATGGCATATAATGATAACCTTGCCAGGACTGGTATGAACTTGGAATCGGACAAGGGGTGCATTTTTTACAAGTGTTAATGGGACATAAAAAATAATAATTGAAAGCCCCACTCCTCTCTTCAAAATCAATTGTTAAGTCAGAGGCATTACCCTGTTATTGTGGGAATATATCCTAATTGGCAAGACTTTATCCATTTATCGTTAACAAAATGAAGTGTATGCATTAACAAATTGAAGTGTAATGCGTCAGCCAAAGCTCTTTGGTGTGTTCCGTTAAGGAGTTTATAACATTGTAACATTTCCAAAATGACAATGATGTGGAGTAGTGTATCAAAACATATGCTTCATCTGTGGATCAGAGACATAATACCTAACATAGAAAAGGGGATTAATAATTTTATCACCAATAACATTTATAGTTATGCTACTACAGTTATGCTTAATTATATTTCAGACCATAAACTGATTATTACAAGCCTCAGGAAGCAATATATCTCCCCTTCCAGCCATCAAGAACAGTACTGCACGATTAACAAAGTGCATTATTTTTGCTTCTTCCTCAGAAGTATAGATTTAAGCACAAGACACTGCTGGTGTATCTGCATTCTGCCTGCATGGATCTGACAGGACTAGAGCCAGTGTATTTTAGGGCATGATCCAAAGCCCATTGCAATGAATGGAAAGACTCTTGTTGACTTTAGTTGGTTCTGTATCCATTTAAAGGGATATGGGGCCAACCTACCTGTACCATAATTAGCTGCTTCCAAGCCTGAGGGTGCAGGGCTAATAGAGTCAAATGATAGCCTAATTAAAATCTAGGCTTCACAAAATGGGTTGAGAGAACTCCATAAGATGAACTACAGGATAGAGGTTAGGCTCCTATAAGAGACCATGAAGTAGGGTCTGTTGGAAGCAGGGAAGTCCTTAGCAGAGGCTGCCAGAGGCCCCTGGGAGAGCAGGCAGTGGAAACCTGCTAGGAAGAAGGGGCATTCAGGGAGAAATCCCCCAGAGCCAAAGCTCAACTAAAAGAGAAAAGGAGCGAACTCCAATAAATGGTAAACAGCAAGAAAGACTCCAGGGAAAGCAGCCTGGGAATCAGCACTCTATATGAAAGAGCAGGGAAATACTTCAAGGTAGCCCAGAAGAGACTGAGAACTGAGCCCAGGAGGTGGGCTGAAGAGTAGCCCAAGAGAGGGCAGGAGAACCATTTGTTTGGACTGTCGGACTTTTGTTACCATGGAAGGAGGCCCTGGAGGTTTTTTGCCTTCCTCCGCAGCATAGGGCAGGGGTCGCAAGCTGGAAGATTCTCTGCGACTTGAAGTCTTTAGATCACGATCTGGAGACTTCAACAGCAGAGTTAAGGGAAAGTGGGGGGGTCAGCTTTTGTGGCCTGCATCATGCGGGGGGTCAGACTAGATGACCATATTGGTCCCTTCTGACCTTAAAGTCTATGAGTCTATGAGTTATTTGAAAGGTGACCTGGCCAGAGGGCTGGGCCACGGAAACTGTAGGTCACTGCAGAACCAGAAAGGCAGACAATAATGGTGTGCTAAAGCAGAAGAACCCCTGCATCCTGGTACGAAAGGGTGCTCTTCTGATGCGTGCCCCTATTACAAACCCTTAATGCAAAATTCCGCCCCATACTTGTAGTCAAAGTTCTATTGACATTTAAGCATATAATGTTGATTTTAACAGGATGTTTTGCCCAATTTTAAATGGCAGTTGAGTGCATCAATAAGCCAAGGAAACCCAGTTAAGACAACAAAAGTTTAACTTTAGTATATTTGTATCTTTCACTGACGTCTTTAATAGTTTTAAATTCTGTACTTTTCATCTTTTTGAAGGCAGAGGGCCTATACATCGGACAAGGAGTCTCCCCACAAAAATTGCAGACTTGGGCTCCTTGTTAACTTCTATGGGACAATTCTGAGACCTTTATTCATATTTTCAGCCAGTCCTGCTGATTTCGCTGATGATCAGAATCTGCTGATTCAGCATTGAACTTTGGTCCTCAGATATTATGCTGAAGAGTCCTGAGATGTACAGAGAATTTAGAATGTCATTAGTGCAATGTTGAGCTGCTTTAAAAATATGACTCTTTCCTCATTAAAAGTTGTAAATTGAGATATTCTTCCTGTTTTTGACAAATTTCCTACCAGCTATAGAACAATATGAAGGATTGTGAAATCCAGTCCCATAGTGGTCTGAAGGAACCTGAAACTCTTAAGTTTGAGAACGCTGTAAGTCCTATTTTCTAGGCTTTTTCTGATGGGGAGTGAGGATGGACCTGGTGGTTTGAAAGGGTAGGAGTGAGTTTGTGGCTAAGAGGATGTGGTTTATTGAATCCACTAGACATTTTCAAGTACAGTATATTTAAAAAATGTTTTGTACATGTGCTTTGGATGTTGGAGTGGCATATTTTTAAAATCTAAATAAGTGCCTCTAGATTCATGAGTGTGCACGTTCTCAATGGAGAATCCACAGTAATGGTGAAAAGCAGTGAGAGTTTTAGGGGGAGAGATTGTATTACTGGAGTATGTTGCTAGTTATGAACAACATTCAAAAATAGGATGTGTGAAATTCTTTCTGAGGTGTAGATTGTTTGGATCGAGATGAGGGGAGAGGGGAATCCCAACAAAACCTTTCAGTCATGACCATGAACAAGTATGTGAAAAAGGAACTGGAACTGGTAGCAGGACCTGTTTCCAAAGTCAACAGTATGTGTAGAGTATGACCCTGCATAATGATCTAACCTGACACTCCTTGAGGATGAAAGAATGGGGCACTAACCACTTGCCATGGTTGTCATGTTGACAGACAAGCTGAAAGGGAAACCTGAATAGGACCCAGTTGCATGTGGCTAGTAGTCAAAAGATGGATTCAGTGGCTGCGAAGCTTACAGCAGCTGTTAGCGGTCTTAAAGTTTCAACATCTTGTATTTGCCAATAAGACACAGATTTGTTTTGCTTGTATGCCAGCATTTCCATGAATGTGTAACAGTGCAAAAACCATTCCTGAATAAAGAGCCTGACTCTGATCTCCCAATAGGTTCTGTTTAAATCTACAAGTTTGAATGCTGGCACAAATAAGTCATTGCGCTTCATCTTCATGAGAGTAATGATAGTGAGGTTCCCCCTCCAGCTATAATCTTAGGGAGAAAAATGGTGTGTTTGCCCCCTCCCTCTATTTGTTTTTGCACAAAGGCTGCTTTATGCTGCACTCACCAGACAGTCCCCCAGCTTTCAACCCCCTTGTCTGTCACCCATCAGCTGCTAGCTGATAGATTTCAGCAGCAAGAAGCAGCTGTGATCATAGTAGGGCTCTCTCTATCCTCCTTTTGGTCAGACAGAAGACTGTGTAATTAGGATGCTTGTCTCAGCTCCCTGCTTGCCCTTTCCTCCTCCCCTACCAACCCTCAGTGGCTGAGGACAGGGAAAGATGTGAAGGGTCCCAGTAATAGGCTGGCATGTGTGGCCCACCAGCAGCTGCTCTTCTGTCCCTGCCCCACCTTTCCACTGAAGGGATGGGACCTTTAGGGAGAAGGAGAGAGGTACACAGGAAACTTTAGGAGGTAATATTCTTGTGGATGGGATATTCCTCAGAGAGAGATGGGGAACTTGAAGGGGAAGGGAGAGTCTCTTTGAGGAGAATGCTGGGTATGTTTTGAAAATAGGGGGAGAGGAAGGAACCTTGGGGAGCAGACAGTGGAAATCAGGGAATGCAAGGGAGGGAGTTGAGGGAAGAAGTGAGGAATGGAAGATTTAAGGGTGGCAGGAGACACTGATACTTTGGAAAGAGAATAGAGGAAGAGGAGGGGTTTAGTAGAAGAGACTCTCTGGACACTTGGAGAAAGAGGAGCCTGGGAAGGAACTGGAAAACATAAAAGGCTAGATTTTAGTTGTGCTGTGGGTCAGCCAGTCTCACTGACCTGGTCTTTGGGGAGAGTTGGGATTTGGGGATAGAGAGGAGAGACTATGGCAGTGGGGCTGGGTGGGGAGTAAGGAAAGACTGAGGAGGAGTGAAGGGATTTGGTGAGCCAAGTGAAAGGATTTTGGGGGCAAAGGAAGAGGTGGGAGAGATGTGGGGTGGCAAGTGTATGAAGTGAGGGAGTGATAGGCTTGGAGACAGAGGCTGGAAAGCTTGAGGAAAGGAGGCCAGTGAGTGTTTTGACACAAGGGGAGAATGAAAGGGGTTTGATTAAGGATGCAGGAGAGAGGTGAGTATAGAGGGATTTATGGGGAGTGAGGAAACTTGAAGACAAAGGGCATGTCTACACTGCATAAAACACTCGTGGCTCGCCTGTGTCAGCTGGCTCAGGCTGTGGGGCTAAGAATTGCAGTGTAGATGTTCAGGCTTGGCTGGAGCCCTGCTCTGGGACCCTCCCCCCTTGCAGATCAGATTCTCTCTTGCCTTGAGCCTAGACTAGTCTTTTACTAGTCTGTGCACAGTGGGTGTAAAACACCATTATGATTTGGTATGACTTCACACCCACTTGGTGCAGGTCTGAATGACTGCAGAAGGTACAAGGCAAAAGGGAGGCAAGACAAGGAGAAGCAGAACCTAAAAGCACCAACTAAAGACTGCTGCTGGAAAAGCCTGGGGGAGCCCATGAGGGGCCTTTCTGCAGATTTAAATGGGAGTGAGATAAGAAAGAACTTGTACTACTGGGAGCCTAATGGGACAGGGAAGGGAGTACCTGATGCTGTGTGCGGAGTGGTTTGTTTCCCACAACTTTGTAGTTGTTTCAACTGTCGGCGTTCAAGGCAACTGCACCTGTGTTCTCCCTCTGTGGTCCACCAAGTGCAACCACTCGTGGGTTTCTGGTTTCCTCAGTCATCACTTCTCTTGGATGTAGACACATCGCTCTCCTTTCTGGCTGGAGTATTTCTGCACAATTCACTGCTTATGCTGAATTTCTCAGCAAGACAGACTCAGCAAGATAAATAGTTCTCCTTTGCCTTCCTTATTCTTAGGCTATAAGCAGCATAATTTCTTACAGTTATAAATTACCACACAGCTCTTTCTAAGCAAGCACATTTATTCTTAAAGTAAAAGTGCTAGAGAGAAAAAATAGTTAAATAAAAAGACCCAAATGGGTGCTAATAAGCTTACCAGAGATCACCCAACTCCTGCAAGGGCTTCGGCAGGTGAAAAGTCCTTCAAACTCCACCCTGTTGTTTTTTTCTGTGGTCACAGTTCATAACCACCTTGGCTCAGAACAAGCACACCCATGAATCTGTGCTTTTTCTCCTTTATATACTTTGGGTCTCTGATCCTCAGAGAGACCATGAATAGGTAGTCAATCAGGCAATAGGTGGCTCCTTGAGGCACAGCTTCAAACAACTGGGTCCAGAGGTGGGGAATTTGCATTCCGTCCTCCCAGCTATTTCCTAGGAAACCCACTTCTAAAAAAAATCACATTGTTTCAAATAATTCTTTGAAGCTCATAACCCTTCTCAGAGTTTACATTAGTCAGGTTCAAGTCTCCTCCTTAGAGTTGTTCCATACACTCCCACAATGACATATCAACATTTGCATTTTTGATACAATGAACTCCTGAACTCATTAAATTTAATTCAATAAGTCTTATCCAGGATATTGCAGGAAATTGCCATAACTGTCACACTAACTACCCAATAGTGGACTCAGATCAGGTAGTTAGAGCTGTGGTGATTTGTGCCTGCAATTCTCTTTCTGCAGATGCAACAAGGAGGCTGTGCCTTTTGAAAATCTAGTCATTAATGTATTTTTTTAACTGATTATGGGTCTAATTCTGCTCTCCTTTCCATGAAGACAGTGAGGCTGTATAACTGTAGCAAAACAGCCTTTGGCCATATGTTCCTGCACTCATGCTAGTACTTAATTGACAGGGTTCTGTTGCACTTCCACATTTTTTTCTTGGGAGTGTAACCTTTGATTTATGTGTTTCCAATTAGTAGCTTAAAAATAAGGAATAAAATGCAACTGAATTCTTTAATGTTCCAACCTCCAGACCGGTTACAGATAATTTAATTTAGTGGAGGAGTGATAACATTGAAAACTTTATTTAATATTAAATAGTTAACCACTGCATTTGCAGTCTCATTCTAAGATGAAATTATATATTCAGGGGTGTAAAGAAAATGGGTACATAATCCTTTCTCTAATGATGCCTTCATGGTGGATTTGCGTGCCTCAACTAAAAGTAGTGTGCTACCCTTTTTATAATCAATTATAGTTAACACCTCCTAATTAATATTAAATTCACCTTTTACCATATCTGTATTTGTTTGATCTCATTGGCTATTTAATATTAAGCATCATATTAATTAACATCTGCATAAATACTATCCCAATAACCATCAATGTTGATAGCATTGTCCAAAGCATAATATTTTATCTAATACACTTCTTAGGAACAAAACGTGCCTAGAACATGACCTTGGGTTATGCCCTGTCTTATCTCCATCTTGCCTCTGAATTATCTCCCTTCACTTTACTTATATTTTACCAGGCCTCGCTTGACTATTGTCAGACCTATCTTTAGGAAATAGATTTTTGGGCTCATTTGCATTTCAACTCCTTTCTATGGAACAGGAATGGCCAACCTGAGCCTGAGAAGGAGCCAGAATTTACCAGTATACATTGCCAAAGAGCTACAGTAATACATCAGCAGCTCCCCATCAACTCCCCACCCACCCCCGGCTCCCAGCGCCTCCCGCCCACTGGCAGCCCCACCAATCAGCACCTCCCGCTCCCTTCCCACACCTCCCGATCAGCTGTTTCCTGGCGTGCAGGAGGCTCTGCAGGGGAGGAGCGAGGGCATAGCAGGCTCAGGGGTGGGGGTAGGAAGGGTTGGAGTGGGGGCCGGGCCTGTGGCAGAGCCAGGGGTTGAGCAGTGAGCACTCCCTGGCACATTGGAAAGTTGGCACCTGTAGCTCCAGCCCCGGAGTCGGTGCCTATACAAGGAGCCGCATATTAACTTCTGAAGAGCCGCATGTGGCTCCAGAGCCACAGGTTGGCCACCTCTGCTATAGAACATAAAGCAGCATCATCCCTATAGACTACAGGAGTTAGGTAAAATTTCATTTCACTCTGCCAGCCTTGAAACCAGGACTGCTTAGGAAGCTTTGGGGAAGATAAGGCAGGAAAGCATCAGCTTTCTTCCACCTGCCTCTGTGTGCTGCTGCAGCTTTATGATTGAGCCAGCAGCCACTGCAGTAGCAGTTTTTAAATTGTTTTACACTATTAGTTAAATGGCTTTAGTCAACATTTATTAGAAAATAAAGTATATTTTGATTAAAGTGCAGCCTCTGAGCTTTGGCAGATTTTAGTAGCAATTTGCAACTTTTGCCTTGTTTCCCATGGCTAGACTATTACTTGTGTAACTTACGGTGACAAAA